AGACCTTTTGAAAAGACGTTGTGCGCATCGTTGGCTCCATGCGATCTCGCTACGGATGCCATCGGTCCACATCACTTTGTCGGTGAAGCTCTCGGCCTTGAGTGGCTGCGGCGGGGACAAAGTAAAGGAAACATGCGCCCAACAAGATGCGGAACGCATGCCTTTCACCGTCTGCCAAACGCAAAACATGCTTGCTTATTCTCTGGAGCAACGGGGCCGCAACAAAGGCAAGTGTAGGCTGCAGTTTGAAATTTGGTGGCAGTGCGCTGATCGATAGGCTGTGGGCGCCGGCCAGCGGGTCGTTTCTGCAGGTTCCAGACCGGCACAGTTGTCGCAACCACATCCGAGGCCGTCCATGACCGTGGGGTAGTGAGCACTCATGTTGTTGTTGACCATTGAACTGGTAAATACTGTGTTTCAGAGAAAGGCCGTCAGTTGAGGGAACTGCACGTGATTTCGCGTCCTGGAATCAGCTAATTGAGGCTTGGCGCGTCAGAAGTGAGGGGTCATGGTGGGTACGCGTAGCTGGCGCAATCGGTGCCTGGAAGCGCCAAAAATCGAGTGAAACATCTACAACTAGTAACCAAATACTTCAAATCACTTTTCGCATGCTGCAATCAAGCATGTATGGCGGCGCAGACATTAAACGTTTTTCATGTCCCTGATGGTTCCCGCGTTCGCCTCGGCAATGACGTTTCTGTAGGCGGCATCCAGCAGGGGCGGGCCGTGCGCCGGCACTAGGGCGGCTCCGGCATAGCGCCGCTATCCCTGGCCTGGAGCTCGAACCAGTCAGTAAATAAACATTGAATCCAAACGCGCATAGCTCCAGACCCTCCATATAAGTTTACAAGCTCTTGTTGCCGTTGTCAACACCACTCTTCGTGCCACTCGACAACACCGGCCCGCCTATCTCATTGCCGCCTACTTATATGAAGAGTTTCTTTATGGGCAACTGACCTGTAGCACTACAACTTCCGCTGCCCCTATCGTCCACTTTCTCGCAACCGTCGCTGTCAACAAACATACACCCAGAGACTATCTCGCCTTCTGCTGATAGCCTCCAACCACAATGGACGCAAAGGTAAGCCTGCGCCTTGAGCAGTACTTTTATTCACTGAACCCGGTGTGAACGCGCTGCCTTGTCAGTGGCCTTCGTTCACACCAAGATGCAATTCCACCCAGGCTGCTTCTCTTCAAGCTTTGCTAACCCAATTGTTTACATAGCCACAACGACCCGTGAGGGCTCTTCGTATACGCGACGAAAATGCGGTGCCCCAGCTACCTGCTGGCAAGACTCTGCACTCGCGCAACAAGTCAACACCAGCTCTGTCTACACTGGTGCAGGCTGGCGGCATCAAGGCTGCTGCAGCCAAACGGACTGTGTTTGGCGATGTTAGCAACACCACTCGACAGCCTACAGCAAAAGACGATACGCAAATAACAGGCAAAAAGAAGACCCTTGAGATCCTTAAGGATACTGCTGCTGTTACTGTCAAGGAGACTGTCAAAGCTGGTACCCTTTCACGACCAGCACAACGACTAGCGACCAGCGTCTCTTCCAAAGAGAACGCCTCCAAAGATGTTACCGAGGTCGCATCTGTGGCCCCAAAGCAAGTCAGCATCGACACCAAACAATCCACAACCAATGTTCGCAAGACGCTTTCAAAGAAGTCATCGACAGCTGTATTCCAAGAGGCACCCTCAAATGCCACCATCGACACAGCCGTCGCCCCCGTAACCTCGCAACAGCCTCTCCCTGCACAGTCATCTTCATTTCCCAACGTGGACCGTGCCTCAGCACAGTCCGGACAGTCCGCGACCATTCCAGAAGAGGAAGAGAAGACCGAGACAAACAACAAGGCGGAGGACAGGTACGAATACCTCGATGCGCTCGAAGAGCAGGCGCGCGCCTTGGAGCAAGAACGAAATGAAGAGCTCGCCAAGTCCAACGGCCTCAGCGGTCTCGAACAGGAAGAGTACTGGGACGAGGAGGAGGAAGAGACCTACTACGATGCCGACGGTTACACCACCGCTAGATCCCTTCGATCGCGCGGCGATAATACAACCGGCGGTGTTACCCTGATTCTTGCACCCCGTATTACAGCAAAGACACAACGCGAACTTGAGGCTGCGCGGGTATTCGTCGAGGCAAACCGAACAACCGAAGACGTCGAGGACGAGCAGTGGGATACCTCGATGGTTGCCGAGTATGGCGAGGAGATTTTCGAATACATGCACTCTCTCGAAGAGCGCATGAAGCCTAACGCGTCTTACATGGATCATCAGGCTGAAATCCAGTGGTCAATGCGGTCCGTTCTCATGGACTGGCTCGTCCAGGTCCACAACCGCTTCACTCTCCTGCCCGAGACCCTGTTCCTTGCTGTCAATTACGTCGACCGCTTCCTTTCATGCAAGGTTGTCTCGCTTGGCAAACTCCAGCTTGTTGGTGCGACTGCTCTCTTCGTCGCCGCCAAGTACGAGGAGATTAACTGCCCATCAGTGCAGGAGATTGTGTACATGGTCGATGGCGCCTACACAGCCGATGAAGTTTTGAAGGCTGAGAGATTCATGCTCAGTATGCTCCAGTTTGAGCTGGGATGGCCTGGCCCGATGAGCTTCCTTCGTCGCATAAGCAAGGCGGATGACTACGACCTCGAGACACGTACCCTGTCCAAATACTTCTTGGAAATCACCATCATGGACGAGCGCTTTGTGGGTTGCGCCCCTAGCTTTCTTTCTGCGGGTGCTCACTGTCTGGCGCGCTTCATGCTGAAGAAGGGTGATTGGGTATGTCTATGTACGCGTTATCGCGAATGAAGATGCTAACTGATACTAGTCGCAATCGCACGTACATTACTCTGGGTACACATTGACCCAGCTCCGACAGCTCATAACTGTCATACTCGAGTGCTGTGACAACCCTCAGAAGCACCATGCTGCCGTGTACGAGAAGTACACTGACAAGCGCTACAAGCGCGCTTCCATTTTTGTCGAGGCGGAGATTTCAAAAGGCTTTTCTCTGCCACTCATGTCTAGGGACAGCCTGGCAACTCAGACTTTGAGGCGAAAGTGAATACACTTGTCTCCATGTCGTCTTGGCCTGACTGTGTTCTAACTTGGCTCGTAGGGGTCGTGTGACGGCGCATCCGACGGACATTGTCGACCAACATTCGACAGTCAAGAGCGCGATAGCGTCAGCACCCCTATCTGGTCCAGGTCAACGTCAGCACCCCCACGGTCACCACCGAAATCTTCTTCATTCTTGCTTATTGTTCCCCGACATACGGCGCTTTGGCGGCTTTCTTGAGCATGCTCAACTTCAGCAGGCGGCGGATTCTACATTGGTCCCATCTTCATCTGGACATTCGGCGCATGGTGTTTATGGATACCCGACCTAAGTCTTTTCGTTCTCTCGTCAAATTTCCATTCATCTCTCAGGGTCTGCCTCTGTGGGCGACCCGGCTGTTCGCTACCTTATTCCGTTCCTTGGACGGGGATGGATGCTGAACACGTACGATCACACTTCTCTTCGACTGTATCTTCTTATATTGGAAAGTTTTTTTTGGGCTCTATGACGAAGCCATGAGGTTATGAGCACTCCACCCGCATTATCTTAATTCTGTACATGCCGCGGCACGCTGATGTTCGGTTTCGGGGTCATCTTCTTTCGTTACTCTTTTTTTTCCTCTTGCCTCATACTTCTCTTCAAGGGGGCTCGGCGGTTGCGGGTGCTGGAAGCACACAGGAGTTTTGAGAGGGCATCGCACCAAGTGTGCCTTTGGGTTTCTCTGCGCTTTCTGCTGTCATATGGAGGCCCATAGTTTGGACTCGGCAGGTAGTCAAGAAAAGCACTTAATGTTTGCATCTTAAACCTTGCGCCCAGCCAATCTGTGACTATGCAATTGATATTGACTATTAAGCACAGCGGTATATATCCAGTGAAAAGTGAACATGTTGAATTAACGGAAGCACACGGCAGGGGCAAGAGGTATATTATGTCTGATTTTGAGTTATGGTCTAGTGCTGGCTTTGTCTTAGCACTACAAGACTGGCCGAACGACTTCGCTCGACAAGTTTGGTGTAACTGTTCACGAAGCCCGGTATGCAAGCGTCCTGCCTGTCAGTCATGTTGCTGACTTTACGTCTGAGCCAACCAATGTGCCCTGCTGTCTCCACACTCGGGTATCTCGTCGATGACTGCTTGACTGGCCATAGTCCAACTGTAGTATGTTCTGTGGGCGGCAGACCTATGTGTTGTTTACTTGGGTTCGAATAGAGAGTGATCATTGCGATGTTCCTTCTGCCGGTGCAATCAAGACTACCGAGTCACCTTTGTACTCGTTAGCTCTGCATTAATAGCCAGATACCGTGCTTCTCGCCTACCTCTTATAAAGAGCATCTCACTCTGCTTTTTGACTGTCCGCACGCGGGGTTCTTGGTCGTCATCGTCTTCCTCGGCAATGTATATCGTTTCCTCGACGTCGCCGAGGACCAGGTTGCAGTGGGAATCGTAAGCCTGCGCCTTACTGTCAGCTGGGCATGTTTGCGTATATGTCTGCTCCGGGTTATCAGAGCTTCGCAGAGACGTACATGAAGCCTGCCCTTTAGTTCACGGTCGCCGCGCAATTTGACAATGACAATCTCATCAATGCAGAGGCGCACAAGATCGAGGGGCTCGTTGGTCTCTTCTTTCTCGTCCATGGCGGGCTATTGGGCGTGCGGTGTTTGGAGCTCAGCGAATGGTGTCGCGGTGAACTTTGGAAGAGCGATCATCTTGGCGGAGCGGCAGCGGGGCTAGCGTGTGGACGCGCATTGAGTGGGCTGTGTGTCTGTGTGGACGGGCTGGCATTGCGTCAGGGCCAGGCCCTTGAAGTAACAAGGCCAGGAACACTTGCCGCCTGACCCAACATCTGCACTTTCTCCATTGTCTCTACAGCGACCCCAAGCCTTCACATCGCCTGTTTTTCGGATCCACTGCTCGAAATCCAAGAGAACAAATCATGGCCAACACCCATGATCCCGCTCAGACGGACCAGCATCCACTTCTGGCCTCACGCCCGCCCGTGACAGACCCCATTACCTATCTTACCATCATTGAATACAACCTTTCCGAAGAGAACTTGCCTGTATTACACCAGGTCCTCCAAGATGCAGAGCTCACAGCAACTATCGGCTGGGATCTGATCCATCTGTTACTTCCGCTACTTCCATTGTCTGAGGAATGCTTGCAAGACATTGCCGCAAAGGGCAACCCTAGAGAGTGCATTCTCAAGGTCACAGAGGCGCTTCGGTTGCTCCAGTTCCAGGAGCCGTATGAGGACACAGACGAAGACGAGCATGGCGCTCCATCAGCTGGTATCAAAGCTAAAGCGCCCGAGGTTGGGGTGGGAGAGTCAAGCACAAGTCCTGCCTTTCAGCCCGCTGTAGTCCCGCCCCTTCCAGTACTGAAGTTTGAGACTCTCCTTGATATATTGGCTACATTACATCGACGTGTTAAAACCAAATACCCGAGCCGCTTCCTCTCTACCAGCTTGCAGGCTGTGCTGGTCGCATACAATCGGGCCAACACCCATATTGAAGACCTCACCCTATCTGCTGTCAAGTTTGTCAAGACACTTTCCGGGACTAAGAGACCGCATCTGCCATCAAGGCGGAGCAGCGGGAATCTTCTGCGTGTAAACACCAACCAATCGGAGCCAGATCCGGAAGCGCAGGGTGATGCACCAAGCAGCGAAGAAACCGCCCTGGTAAATCGGCTACTACAGTCCTTTCTCACTCACATCCTTGAAGATTATATGCTATCTTTGAAATCAGACGATGATGTTCCAGGTCTTTCATGGGCAAGCAGGCTGATGGAAAGCTATGAACCGGAGCGAATACCCAACAAGCCTAACTACCAGAAATATGCAGACCGGTTTGCGAATGAAGAAGACCTCACTTCGCGAGCCGCAATCTTGGGCCAAATAGTAGCTTTGACTCAGGATTTGGGTCTGAAATATGAAGAGCTGATACGCACTGTAATGGACTCGGAGGAGGAGAAGCGTGGCATTCCCGGCACCGAGGATGAACCACCAGCTACGGCTGCAGATATTCCGCTTTCAAGGACTGGTGCTCTACTTCTCATTGCGGCACAAAACGTTAAACAGGAACTGTATGCTCCTGCTAAGCAAGAGGAGGAAGCGTCATCAGTAGCCATCTTCCCGGGACATGCAACGATACTTAGCAACTTTATCGGGACTCTGGGACCTCAAACTGTTGGCATGGAGCCAGAGGCACTTCTCGACACGGTTCTTGCCATGGGTCTCATTGCATTGCAAAGAAACAATGTCGGCGAGCCCAAGGACGACGAGTCATTTGCTCAGTATCTGCAAACCATCTCACTCATCTCTGCGAACTCACCCTCCCCAAGCTTACGAGGCCACGCACATTACCTCACAACAACCGTCTTGCGTTCGCACCCCCACGATCTTGTCCGTCTAACCTTCATCCGCGACACCCTCGAGCACTGTCCCTATGAGAACCTCAAAGCAAGCGCCGTATCCTGGCTCAAAGGCGAAACCCTCGAAGCAAATACACCCCACCTCCATTCTTCAGAAGACACCCACGAACCCGACCACACAAACATCTTCGCCACCCCCGTCGCCCTGTCCACCGTAGCCCCGTACCTCTGGCCCGACCTCACCCGCCACTACGCCCTTGACACCAGCCTCGAAGACTCGTGGCTGCAATTCCGCCAGGACCTCGGCTTCTACGTCGCAGCCCTCAACTTCTACTACCTTTTGCTTCAAGCCTCGCATCTCCACGATACTCTGGGTATCAAGGAGTTGAATGCCTCACATGGCATTCAGACACACTATCTCGACGTGCTCAAGCGGACCGCAGCAAGGTTCCAGAAAGAACTCGCAGCGGGTGGGGGCGTGCTGGTTGTTGAGGGCCAGGAGACGCTCGAGCAGGCGAAGGCTGATGTGGGGTTGTTGGAGAAGGTGGTGGAGTGGGTGGAGGGCGCGTTGGCCAAGTTGACGTGAATTGAGTGGGATAGGGCAAGGATTGCATTGTAATCGGTATGTCCGAGATTAGTTAGTTCGTGTGGAGAAGGGAGAGAGAGAGGGAGAGAGTTTAGTATAAGTCGAGTATGAAATGAAATGAGCAAATCCGATGCTTGTGCCAAAAAAAAACACGAGTGTTTTGTTGCGCTTGTTAAACTGCTGTCTATTTTCCTTTCATCAAAGATATGATTGAGCAGTGTTTTTTTTGTTACAACTGCACACACACACATGCTTTTTCTTATCCTTCCTTCCTTCCCTCCTCTTCTTTCTCTTTTTCTTCTTTTCTTCATCAAAACCCCTGCGCATTCATCCCCCCAAACCCCATCCCAGCATACGACCCCCCCTGCGACACCCAGCCCCCAAAATTCTCTGCTGTCAAATCATTCCAAAGGTACAAATCGCCATTTTGAAACGCGGCTGAGAAGTCGCCCATGTCGGTTGTGAAGCTGGGTTGTTGGTCGCCCATTGTTTGTGCTGAGGAGGTGGTGTCGAGGGTCATGTCGGTGGTGGGCCATTGGGGTGCGGTGGTGGGGTAGGTGGAGGAGAGGTTGAAGCCTGAGAGGGGGAATTGAGAGGATTGGTGTTGTTGCTGATGTGATTGGTGTTGTTGGTCGAGTGGGATATGTGACGACGATGATGATGATGATGCTGATGGGTTGTTTGTCGAAGTAGCAGCAGTAGCAGTAGTGTCAAGACCGGGCCCTGCGAATGATGCTACCAAGGGTTGATTCTGCGTTTCTTCACTATCCTCCTGTGTGGATGTTGTTTTCCTTCTTTTTAGTTGCCTGCCTTCCTTGCGCCATTCCAAGTACTCGTCCCACCAACTTTTAAGTTTTGCTTCGAGGAGAAACTTCCAGTGGCTGGGATTCCGGCATTTCTGCGGGCCAGCAGCGTCGCTGGTTTTTTGGATTACGGCGTCGAGATAGTGTCCTACGCGTAGACTCTGGCTTTCGAGCAGCTCGCTCATTTCCTCGTCGGTGCCGACGGCATAGTCTGCTTTCATGAGTGTGACAAGAGAGTAGACGGCGCGAACGTAAAGTACGTTCGGCGACTTGCGTAGTTCGTCTTCGGGAACGGCGAGGAAAAGGTCTAGGATTGTTTGGGCGGCGCTGATGCATTTTGTTGTTGCGTTGATTTGGAGTGCGGAGCGGGAAAGGAGAGATTCAGGTTGCACAGAGTCGTCGTCGAGGGCTGGTAGTGTGACGTGCCGGTTTTTGAATTCGATGACTGAATTCGTTGGTTTAGTAATTACCTTGGAGAGAGTGGACGAAGTTATGACTTACCGTCGAATCGACCTCCGTCCATGCCAAACTCCCACATGGCAAGCATGTCTGCGTGGTACTCGAGCTCGAGACTCACTGTATAATTCAGTCACATACACTCTTCGGAAGAATTAGCAGTTGACTCACATGTCACTACATCGTCAGGAACCGATTTCCTCCAATCCTGCATCCTCCGGTCAAAGATTCGCAGGATGATTTGCATACGCAGCTCAGAGAGACTGAAACTCGTACTCGCATCGTCAAAGCCAAATGCCGTATTTGCCTCATCGGCAATTCTCTGCAGCTTCAGCCATGCAACTATCCTCTTATCGTCTAACAATTTTGACTTTTCAAGAATTCCAAAACATTCGTCCATCCAGCTGTTGAACAGCAAGATATTAGGTCGCCTCATCCTCATTGAGAAGCCAGCACTTATAATGTACAGCAGTAGAATGGTGCGGCAGTGTTCTAACAATTCCTCTGGCGAAGAAATCTTCTGTAGTGATCGAATGGCACGCTTGGGTAGTTGTTCATGTGTTCTCGGCTTCGACGTCAGGCCGAGCTCTAGTGCCATGGAGGCTGCCATGTTGATCCACTGATATATCTGCAGCTGTCCCGGTGTCTTGGAAGGTGAGTAGTACGATACAGTAACTATCAATGCCTGGATAGCCTGAATGGACTTTTCGCCTTTGACAAAAGCAGAACGCGCGTACAATAGTACGGCTTCTTCATGCAGTCTATCGGACAATGCCGAGCCTTTGGAATGGGCAGAAGCCGCCATGATAGCATGGAAAAGTGCGGGCTTGTTTTCCCGAAGATCGAAAACGTCCCAATGTCTGGGAATCGTGATACCCGGGCAAGCCGCGACCAGCTCCTTGCGCCATATGCCCAAAAATTCGCGGGCCATGTCCTCGGAAATGACACCGCGATCTATTATATCGTTTTCAGATGACCCTAGAAATTCTTTGGGTGCGCTGGTGGTTGGTGTGGGTGTGGGTGTGGGCTCGGGCATGGGTGCTTGGTTGGTGACTGAGGGAAGGCCACAAAACCCCGTTGCGGGTATTGTTGCTGTTCCCATACTCGAGTGCCTTCGCCAAGTGGATGGAGTGTCCTCGTCTCTCGCGTGCCCTTGTTCGTCCGATTCATCGTCTCCCGTGTCATGCTCGCTAGCATCACTGGATGGACGCGCTTTTTTTGCCTTTAGAAGGCTGCGCATCTGCTGAATTTCCTTCTCCAGCTCCGTAACGCGCACATCTGTCCTTTTTCGCTGTCGCCTTTTTACGGGTGGCGCAAAGATGCAGGTCCGGTTGGCCTTGGCGCATCGCTGACACTGCGATGAGCTTGCGTCGGGGTTCACAAGACATCGGACTTTGGAAATGCGGCAAGCTTCGCAAGCGCGGTTTAACGGCTGATCCTGGGGCTTCTTCGATTGCTCCGAATCAGGACTGTTGACTAGTTGGTTCGACATTGACCAGACGTTGCGCGCGCCGGGTTGTTCTCTGCCTTCATTTATCTGGTCCGTCATGTCGGTCCAGGATGCTCGTATTTGCTTGACCACAGCCAAGACCAGAGCGGTGAACGCGGACTCCTTTGGCTTGGATTTACAAAACACCATGCATTACTTTTTCTGATTGAATGATTCCTTTCTCTTGCTAGCTGCGCAGTTCCATGTTTGTCAGCCGATAGCTCGACTCGCGCGAGATTGAACGTCAAATCCGGAGGCGCGTTAATTTCCAGGAAAGGAGCAACGATGGACACAGGGTACTGGTAGGCTGCGGGTTGACTGACAATCGGAAGTGGGCGAGTTGAGGGCTGCACGACGTCGGAGTATGACAAACATGGATGCCTGAAGGTGGACGACTTAAAGCCGCCTGCCGCCAACACTAATAGGCTTCGGGACGCATCATCACCCACCAAAGGAGCATGGGGCGGCGACGGCTCTAACAGACAACATTGTGGCTAAAGCCGTCCGCGCACCCCGTGGCTCCCGCACCCCGATGGAGACATGCATGCGCCACAATATAGCTACCCATCGAGGTCTCTGAGGCATCACAGTGGTTGCGGTCATTGGTAATCACAAGGCCAAAAGCATCGGAATGAGAAAACAGACTTATGACGCGTTCGGCATTCCGACTGTCACATGTATAAGCACGTGTTTCTATACGTATACTCTTTGTCAATGCACCAATCGCAGCCAATTCATGAACATTTGTGAAAACTAGATGCTGCGCAAAGTCTTTCAGTATACAAATTTCATCAACATACTTCTTGAATTAGCCAGAGCCGTGTGTGATCACTTCCCAGCAACAGTCATTGCAGCGTCACATGTACGTTCATGTCAGGATTGTTAAGGCGCCCAATGCTTGATCAAACGTGGGGTTTTCCCTAGTTCATTTACCAAACGTATCGACGACCGTATAGTATGTCGCGATGCTACATCTACGTATCTACTGTTTTACTACTACTCGTATAATGCTTCTTGAACCATTGCCAACCAGCAACACCTTTTTCCACCTAACAAAGCCAGTACCAAAACCTCTCAAGAGCATTGCGGGGTATCTGCTCAGGCCATACTTCTGCGTCAAGCGCGGCCTTGCCACTCCAGATGTCTGCCTCCTCTGGCTTCACCATCTTGGTGCGCTTGAACACCTTCCAGAATACGAAGAGGAGGAAGAAGATCAAAATGCCAATGTAGGCAGTGAAGAAGTCGGTAAGCTGGTCAGGTCCCCATGGGGTTTGAGTGAAGACCTTGAAGCCGTTGAAAAGGATGATGAGCGCAAAGTAGACAAAAGCCACCCAGGCGAGGTAGGGTTGCCACTTGCTCTTGAAGATCATCGTGTTGCGGTCGACGTTCTGGGCGAGGCAGGCCTTGTGGAAACGGGTGAAAGTGTAGCAAATCGAGCACCATGTGAAGAGCGAGGCAATCGTGGTCAAGTTCTGGAACCACGTGAATACCTTGTTGGCGCCAGCACTCACACTCATGTATGTGAGCAAAGAGATGGAGGCTGTGATTGCGACGCAGTAGACTGGCACACCGCTCTTGTTGCACTTGAGCAGGAACTGGGGCGCCTGCTTGTTCTGGGCGATACTGAACAGGTATCGGGAGCCGGTGTACAGGAAGGCATTGCCGGACGAGGTTGCAGAAGTCAAGATGACAGCGTTGACGATGTGCGGTAGAACTGGGATACCGGCATTCTTCATCGCGATGACCCACGGCGAAGACTGAGCACCCTTGGCGTTCTCGTCAGTGAGCTGGGGGTCGTTTGAGCTGATGGTCGTTCCAATTATGAAACTTCCAAGGACGTAGAAGAACAGGATACGCCAAAAGACACGACGAACGGCCTTGGGGATGTTCTTGCGCGGGTCAGCAGCCTCACCAGCGGCAACGGCAACCATCTCCACACCACCGTACGAGAATGCCGCGTTGACGAGTGTGGACCAGAGACCAGTAAAACGTCCTATGTCACCTTTGCCGACATACTCCTTCATGGCGCCTTCCTTCCAGTATCTGAATCCTCTCCGATCGTGGTCAGGAGCACCACCGAGCATGATGACGAGACCAGCGATAAGGAGTCCGAGGATGGTAATGATCTTAATCGAAGCGAATATGAACTCAGCCTCTCCGTAGATCGAAACAGCGAAAATGTTCAGCAGTACGATGATGACGATGATGATAGTGATCCATATCGCTGGACTGTATCTAGAGGGTGGAGTCAGCATCTATTTGTTATCAACGACTGTGCATTGCACTCACTTTTCTTCCTGATCCCAAAAGTTGATGAGAAGAGCGGCAGCAGAGATCTCGGCACAAAGAGTAATGGAACTGTTGTACCAGTTGTTCCAACCGACGGCAAAACCAAGAGCAGGATCCGCATAACGAGCGGCATACTGAGGAATAGCACCGGGAAGAGGAAGCCATGTAGCCATCTCGCCGAGACACTGCATCATGCCGTAGACAACAAGACCAGTGAGAGTGTAACCGATGAGGACAGAGACGGGACCAGCGCGAGCGAATGCACCGCCAATACCAAGGAACAGACCAGTACCAATGGTACCGCCCAAAGCGATGAATTGGATGTGACGAGACTTGAGGCCACGCTGGACATATCCATAGTCCTCTGCTTGTTGGACCGATCCATAGAGACCAGCTGCCTCGGCGAGCGCGTTGTCCTTTATCTCGCCGACATGTCCAGTGCCATGGTCGGAGGGAGACTCACCACCAACAGCATAGTGCTGCTTCTCATTGTCGGTGAGTGACATGATGGCTGTCTTCTGACAGTCGTTGCCAATGACGGGTGTGTACAGGCCTGTGGGAGTATGCAAGGCCTTGTAAGGGAGTGTGCACGGCACAGCGAGATGAAGCAAAAGAACGAAGCTGATGGTTTCCGCAGACGAAGCGAACGGAAGCACCAGGTTCAGTTTTATATTAATGGCCCTTTGACGGTCGTACCTCGCCCCCAGCCGATAACCAGGCAAAGACCTGGACCAGGGCGTACAGCAGCAGAAGGCAGGCTAGTCCGGGGTGGCCGGTATCTTGCACCCTACACGCGCAGTCTCGGCTCACCCCGCTCCCCAAATGGATGATGGCGTCTTCTCCAGCTAATAGCACGGTGGCACCGAGCAAGACATTGCCTTGTGACGATACAGCTTGCGCCGAGCGAGTGGATGGAACAGGCCCAGGGTGCTTGATAAGAGCCAGGCCAGGGGTGGGGGTAAGATTGTGTCGCATGATACACACCACATCGTGAAGCTTCGTGTGCCCAATGCGCGTTGGTGGTTGTGGTTGTTGTGGTGGAGTTTGTTTGCGTTATAGGACCTTTGGAGACACCACGTTTGGTCACCCAACTCGACAGCTCTCTGCGTACAGTCTTTGTTGTTCCCCAAACTTTGTTCGACGAGAACGGGTTCGACTGTATGGTAGGTGCGGAGAAGCGTTCACCCCCCTGTACGAGAGCCAAACCAAGCGAGGCAGAACCAACACTGGCTAAGCATGGAACTTGGCATTAAGACAAGCCTCATTGGCGCCGAAGCAAGCAAGCACCTGTCGAGCGCTAAGCACTCTCGGCAGGTGAATAGGTACCCCAGCCCATCACAACCCAAGCCACTATCGCGGGCTTGTAATAAATGACCGAATCGAATGTGTCGCCATTCGAAAGCCTTTCTGGAACGAATTTAAAGTTTAAACATCCCGGTCATCTTACCGCGCCTACGAATCTCCATGGTGGAATTGCGCGCTGACTGCTGCAACTCTGATAAGGCTAGTGGACGCAAACTGGACACGGACTTTTGAAATACCAGAACGACTCCGAAACGCGCCCGATGCGAAGGGCCTTTGGTAAGACTCTGTCGCGTTACCTTCGAAATTCAAGCTCGTAGATACGAAGTGTGAGAATAAGCCGCAGTTGCGAGTCGTGAGGTCCAGGTCACCCACACCTACGCGTGCCGCCCTTGTCGTTCCAATAGTGCAGTAGTCCAACAGTAGTAGCGCTATGGCCTCTCTATTCGCGGGTTACCGGTGGCAAAAGGGCAAGGTATGGTCAGCTTATTTACGTCCGTACATCTAACGGCATAAACACGTGCATCTATCCAATAGCATCTCAGAGTAGTGAAAGAGTAACTCCCGGAGTGTGTTCCCATTGAGAACTACAGCCGCTTCGAGTAGGATCGATTTGCAGGGATCCCTCGTATTTGGTGTTTGCCATCTCTATCGCGTGCTCGCTGTTGCACCAACCGTCTTCTACTAGGTCGCTTGTCAGGCCCAATCATGAATACAAGGCGTCTGTTCACCAGTGATCGAGAAGAATACTTAATCTCATAGGCGCAGAAACAAAATCCACTTATTTGGGTTGAATTATCTTGTAAGTGTGTGACATACACGGTATCTCTGTTATCGGCGCACTGTCCGCACGGACGACCGACCCTCAATTTGCCAGGCTCGTTGATAGCATCAAGCTTCAAAGCTTTGACAGTGACACTCTGGCATCTTCTTTTCCCATACCCTTTGTATGCGCATAATTCCCGGTCAACGTTTTGACGTCTCCACAATCATGCCCACCATGGTCCGTCCGTTATGTTGATGTAAACGAGGATTGTAGGATCCATCTCCTACTGTAGGATCGCACGTCGTTGAACGACATACCACCACAACTACGGAACGGTTATCGTGCGTTAGCCAGGTCCGATCTTTGGCATGTCGTGGTGTTCGCTCAAGCCACTGAGGTACTTGTTCAGCTCCTCGACCTTCTCCTTGTGCGTCTTGACACCCTCCTTCCTCATCTTCTCTTCCAGTCTCTTCCGTCGCATCTCGTCGTGCCGCTTCTCAGCCTCCGTCTTTTGTCTGCCGCCGCCCTCTCTTATCGATCGTTCGGCGGTCTCGGGTGATAGTGAGCGAGCGGGCGTCCCCGAAGGTGTTCTGTGTGCATCGTCTTCTGTTCCCGGTCGTTTCGCAATGCTCGTAGCGTCTCCATCAACGGGTTTGGCAGAGTCGGTCGTGGACTTGGGCTTCTTTTTCTTCTTTTTCTTATCAACACCAGCACCTTTGAGTTTCAGCGCGCCACCCGAAGCTGTGGCGTAGTCGGACGACGGCATCGTGGCTATGCGCCGATGTTTGGTTGTGAGGTTGGCCCTGGATTCCAGAAGGAAGGCGCGCGAAGATCGACAGACGGGTTCACACGTGACCTTTCAGACACGGCACGGCTCCAAACGGGTCCCACACTCTGTATGTTCTACTGTACCAACGCTTCGTTCCGTACTACGTAAAAGTCCGTCTCCACTTGGAACATACAGCGCCAGACCCCTTATTGAGGCGGCTTACCAAACTCTGCTTGTGGGATTACAATTCAGCTCTCCCGTCTAGTCTTCTTCAAGTTACCCGAACAAGACAGTGGCCTGATATGCAGGTGCAAGGATAAACTTTGTATCGCGACTAAAGATTTCAAACACGTCAGGTCGACGGCGCAACGGGAGCCTCTCTGAGGCACTGCATACTGGCATGTCGCACGCGTTTGGATCTGGCGCAAAGCGCAGAAGCAGGCATCGACGTTCTCGCAGGCGGTTGTACAAAACCTGATCTTGACGTCACACATCTGGTTGAAGTACAATGAGCCTCGGTCCGTGAGTGGGCAAGATGAACGTTGGCGCATACAACATCGGAATAAGTCCTTCATTGATCTATGTCCCGCATCTGCATGCATACTAAAGTATGATCAGTTGCCTCCCTATTGGATCGTTCCCCGCACAGTCTAATCTAGCGATGCCGCCATGTGAAAAGGAACATGTTCCCGTATATGTATGTATGTACTCGCCATGCCGTGTAAACTCCAAGCTATGAAATAAGGTAAGGAAAGAGGAAGGTGAAAAGACTAGTCGGTCCGAGAAGTGGAGTAATATGTACAAAGTCGAAATAAACCAAGCAGCGCGCCATGGAAAAAAAGGTAGCCAACAGTGGAATGTGACCCAAAAGACTGGATCATGGAAATGAAAAGACAGGGACGATTAGCCTAAACATTGTCTGGTGTAAATGGTGGAGTGATTGCCTGGTGAGATCTGAAGACTCTGTTGTCCGGACCCACTCAGTTTGGGTAGCAGGTGAAGTATGTCAGGGTGCAAGGCCGACTTTTACCGGCAATTGCCCAGGAGAGAAGCGCTGCACCAACTCGACGATAGCAACGTATCGTCTGTGTTGATCTTGGTGTTCCACAGCTGTCTTCTCTTCCTGCTCATAGCTCCATGCCGTCGAGATCTCGCATGACGCAAGCCAATTGTGCCCGTTTTGCAGCCTCGGCGAGAAGCGCAGCCTGGTTAAGGTAGTTTGTCGTCTCAGCTGCGGTGTGACCTGCCCCTGATCTATTGGGCTGGTACTCGAAACTGGGGTGTCGTTGGGCCTGTAGACGCTGTTGCTGCTGAGGCTGTTGCTGCTGCTGCGACTGCTGGTTCAGGGAGCCAAAGTAGGCCTGGTTCTGAGGACTCGTCGAGGGCGAGACAGGAGGCGCGGAGCCCGTCGAGGACCGTGAGGCAATGCTGGAGGCAGCAGCACTGTTGTAGCTTGGGGAGGCATTGCTGGACGACTGGAGGGCAGAGAAGGCAGGTCGGGTCTGGGCACCGTACGACTGTTGCGAGTAGTTGGACATTGCTGCGATTGGTCTGGGCTGGTCTGCTGGTGACTGGAGGATTGTGAAGAGTCGAGAAGGGCAGAGCAGGGCAGAACAGGACAGAAGGCAACAGAGTAGAGCAGAGCAAGAGAGAGAGGGCGGTGGATGGGTTGCAACGGCGGCCGAGGCGAGCGGGAGGGATAAAGTAAATAGTAGTGGAGCCGTGGTAGCGTATGGGGACCCTTGAATGCACCCTTGCACTGGCGATCTTTGGCGCGAGCGTAGAAGAAATCAATGACCGTAGGTACGTGCGTATTCGTCTATCCACAGTGCTTGGTCGGCAGCAGGCGAGGAAAAAGCAGCAGGACGGGACAGAAGCAAGAAAAGAAGGCGACGAGAAAGATAGGGCCACGCTTGACGGGGCACCACCTGGGCCGCGGCTCGGAAGTTCCAGATTACATGCATACTTATCCATGTGCACCAACTACGTCTACCAAACCGACCATCTGATACTAGCCCGGCGTGTAAATTTCGTCACTCTTCAACATCTGCCGATGCTGGCCAGGGCCTCGAGGCGCCAATCTTCCCTAGGCCATGCGCCCGCCGCCTTGTAGGCTCCAATTTCTCTCGCCCTGCGCCCGCCATGCCTGTATGTCCTCGTCCAACCTTCCCCAGACTCGCTAATTACTGACGCCCGCCAGCTCATCCTAATCTCAGGTTCCACCCTCCCACCCCTCCATCCCATGCCCCCGCCGCCACTCTCGCTAACCCGCCCAAAGGTTTCCCTTCTGCGGGCAAGACCACCAGAGCCCGACAACTCGAGCAATTCTTCGAGTCCAAGATTGCCAGCGCTCCTCCTGATGCCCGCACGTCCCGCCTCAAGGTGCATCTTATCAATGACCAGACTCTCGGTGTGCCGCGCTCCGTCTACCGTACGGCCAGAGCCGAAAAGGATGCGCGTGCGGAAGAATATTCTGCCGTCAAGAGAGTCTTGTCACGGGATGATATTGTTATCGCAGATGGCCTGAACTACATCAAGGGCTTTCGCTACCAGTTGTACTGCGAGGCCAAAGCCCTGCAGACCCCCAGCTGCGTGGTCAGTACAGCATTGTCGCTTCCAAGTCACTGCGCTAACAGTCCTAGAGCTGCACGTAGGCACGCCGCCCGACCGATGTCGCGAGAACAACAAGAAACTCTTGGCGGACGAGGGGACCGACGGCGGATACGAAGAGGATGTCTTTGAGAACCTCATCTTCCGATACGAAGAGCCCAATGGCATGACGCGCTGGGACAGTCCATTGTTCATTGTGGTTGAGGAAGACGAGACGCCGCCATGCGACCAGATATGGGAAGCCATGATTGGCAGTGACGGCAAGTTGAAGACTGTCAAGCCCAACCTGGCGACGGTGCTGGTGCGTGTTCTGGGTCCTCCTCGTTTCGCCAATCTAACTTCTCATAGAAACCAGCGACCGAGCAAAACTACCTCTACGAACTTGACAAGACGACGTCGGACATTCTCACGCAGATAATGGTCTACCAAAAAGATCACGCTGGTGAAGGAGGCGGACAAATAGCTGTAGCAGATGTCGAGAAGCCCATTGAACTGCCCGCGACGCCAATGACTCTCCCACAACTTCAGCGCATACGACGCCAGTTCATCACCCTAAACCGACAACACAGCTTTTCCAAGGCGCGGATAAAGGAGGTCTTTGTCGACTACTTGAACGCCGAGTTTCTGCGTTAGAATGATTGTAGTCATGTGCAGGGACAGCGTCGTTTCCAGGGCTACTATAGTCAAATAAACTATATAGTCGCATCCCGATGTCGGAATTATATCCCCAATAGACAAAGAATTGCGTGATCCCAAAATCATTCGCTATTCATGTTCAAGAAAGAAAAAAAATCCCGAGTCATCTCCTTCCTCCACCCTCCGACTTTCCCCGACACCTGCAGGCATCTTTCGAAGCTACCGCTGCAAACAAAAAACTTCGCTATCACCTAACGCAACATCCGCTGTCGTTTCTAATCCAACTAAAGTAGGTTGTACGTAGCCTACTTACCATCGCACTTGAGTGTACAAACCAACCCAATTTGCATCAATACCGTACTTACCCACCTTTGGTTCTGGCCTCCCCACCCCGCTCCACTCCCTCCTCAGATTCCAACCCTCTTCTTCTTCTTCTCTGCATACATAAGTACTAGCACTAACCTTTTCTTTCCGCACTCGCATGCTGCAGAACCTAATGTGAATGTGAACTGACGCCATTCCTCCCGCCCCACAATCCTACCACTACCAACGCGCGGGTTGGTGGGGGGGGGGAAGGGGGGAAGGCGTGCACGTGCGGATCCGCGTAACCTTGCGTATGCGTACATGTGTGTGCGTGTGCGTGTGTGTAAGGAGGATTTTCTCGCACGCCAATGCAAGTCGTTCTCACACGCTGTATCTACGACTTTACCTACTTCACGCAACGGGAATTGTGCTAGTGGGTGATTTCTTTTGTACAGGTACGCGTACGCAATGGCAATCGCGATGGTACCGCCCGGCACCCCTGGTATGTTATGACGTTAACTGCGTCATTCGGGGAGGGGGGAGGGGGGCATTCCTTAAGTTAGGATTATAGTGAAATGGGGGAGGCAGGAGGTAAGGGGGCGGGTTGGATTGGTCGATCACGATTTGCGATCGTGATGGGTGCGGTGGGAGTGTGGATGTGGATCGGGGTGAGGTCATTTGGGTGTAAGACACCCTTGTAACTTTTGGGGCGGATGGCGGGGGGGAGGGAGATTGAGTTTGGAGGAGCATCATAGGTTTTTTCTTGTACGAAGGGAAGATGTTGATATATGGGGGAGGGGGAGGGGCTTCTGGAGCATACATTGTTTACGCTATATGTGTATGCTTTCGCAGTTTATTTTCTTGCTTCACTGGAGAAAACGAGAGATATATCGTAGACAAGATGTGAGAAGGGATGGGAATGTAAAAAGCATGAATTCGCAGAGAGAGAGAAAAATCAAGAACTACGAACCATGAAACCTTCTTTTCCCCCCAGACCAACTAACCAACTCCTCCTCCGCTCACAGCACCCTTGCAAGAACCTTCCCCAGCCTCACCCTGTTTTTGTTTTTTTGTTTTTTTTCTTTACCCCGCATAATCACAATCCTCCCCCCACGTGTAAGACCACGAGGCGCTGCACGACTGGTTCGGTCTTCCCCCATACACAGTTTTTCCCTTGTTTGGCTGTTTTTGCAATCATCCCAGTATCGCACCACTTTCTTTATGTCCGCATTCCGAGTCCATGTTCCGGTGCCCATGTTCTGTGCCCCGTGCTCCGTGATGTTTCCATGTCAAGCCCTAACTCCCCGCCCCTCCCTCCCGTACTTGACACAAACCTCTGGAAAATGCCGGTCACGTATGACCAAGATACCTTACCTCGGCATCTGGGTACGGTACTACGTGCGTACGAGATGCGCCTTTCCACACTCACCCAACTATACAAATTTTTGTTCACTCTTACTCTACTACTGCGGTGAAAACGGACTGTTCCAATGTTCCAGTCGTGACGACCGCGTGGCGCACAATGTGGCTGAAACTTGCAGCAAACATGATTCGAGTCCCTTCTTTTGTTCCTTTTGTCCGGAGAGGCTCCGGAGGGAGGAAGGGAAAGAGAGGGCCGGACAAGGGGGGGTTCGGTCGGTGGGTTTGAGGGTTCGGGAGAGAGAGCGGTGAGAAGGAGGGAGGATGGGTGGGTGCGGGTGAGATTTGATGAAGTTTGTTTGTTGGGTAGAAAGTTTTTTCTGTGGAATGAGTGGGCGAGATTTTTGGAAGAAAGGGCACGTGAGCAGGTGAGTGTGTGTCAGGTATAGACCCCGGATTCATTAAATGCTTCTTCAGCCCTGCGCGCTGTGTCTGGGGTAATTTAGGCTGATTGCGATGTACGTATTTCTGGGTACGATGGTGTGTAGTAAATCTGAAACTCGGGCTATCCAAAGAAAGCGGCAAGGTAAGGAGATAAGATGCTTGGGGGTGTTTTGCCAGGTACCATGCTATAAGAAGGGTATTTTGGAAATAATGAAGGATAAATTGAATCACTTATCTTTTGAAAGTTTTTTAAAAAAAAGAGGGAAGATATCCGGAACACTCGTGATGATAGTTGAATGATTATGAAACTAAAAAGATTATATCCAATAATGAACCCTACATTCTGCCGAATAGAAATGACAAAGGGAAGAACGACTCGGAATCTCGTCCACCCAGCGGCGGTTTTGCTCTTGTGGAGAGCTTGGTATCTCAAATAGACAACAAAAACTAAAAGTCAAATGAAACTGTGAACCAAATCCAAAGGACTCCAAATCCCCAGACGCCTATTCACACTAGACGTATATCTTCCAATATACAAACCAATCATCACGTCGTTGCATCATTATACCCATACCTCACAATCCGGAGTAGTTGCCGTCCAGCCCAACCAGATTCGCGGTATCCTCGTAATCGCCAGGGATCATGATACCCGGGTACAGGCCGTCGCTACCAGGCGTAGACCCATATTCGCAAGCAGCATTATTGAATTCTTCTCCGCTAGTCAAGCTCTCATCGCTGAAGCTCAGAACGCTCTGGGGTGGTGGGGCCTCGGAGGCGTAACTGTTCCAGTTCCAGACATTGGGCGACCATGTAGTGTTGCTGTCAGTGGTAGCAGACAAGGGTGTCATATCGAGTAGAGCGTCGGCTGGTGGACCGCCATAAATTGTATCGTAGATGTTTGTTTGTCCATTGTCCAGTGATGAGAGAAGACGCTCCCAATCTGCTGGCGAAACCTCCGACTTGATAGCTTGGTTGCTATTTGAGATCACATAACCAGCTAATGGATCCATCGGGAAAGACATGTAGTCGATATTGCGTTGCTGCTGCTGTTGACTACCAGATTGGCTCGGGTGGCGCTTGTTTGGCATTGAGAAGGATGCACGGTGAGACAATGGGCTCAAAGTTGGCTCTGAGCGGGCTGTCGGAGGTTCTGACCGAATTGAAGATAAACTCGTTGACGAGTGGT